AATCGAGAATCTGCCGCGCATTTTTTGTGTGGCACCTAGGTTCAATTTTCAATATAATGCTGATTAATTTCTATATTGGGGGATCACTAAAGCCTTGTACCTATGTAATTAGGGTTAGGGTTAGTTTAACGTAGGATAAGAGTAGTTTTATAGGTAAAATTGCCTCCCCGACATTTTTTATTAATACAACAAGACAGGTTTAGACTTCCGTTTTTCATATTTGATTTTTTGACTTCTTCGGGCTGATCCGTGTAAACAAATTTCATGATTTTGATTGGTTGATCTACATATAAAAAGTCACGTGGGTACAAGAATTTAGCGGACCCCAATATCCCTGGCTGAATTTTGGTTTACCCCGATTTACTTTTCTAATTATTTTAGCGGGCAAATTTGTCCGCTAAACCGGAACGGTTTAAAGAATACCCATGGGTATTATCAATTTTAAAAATGGAACTCTTGAATAAAATCCTGGGTACTGTGAGCAATAGCGTGTAGCATTATAAACAACCAATCAGAATTCAGAATTTGTAAAGCACAAACATTACCAGAATTTAAATTTGAAAAAAAATTTGAAATTTTATTAAATTTACAATACATTTACAACTATTTTGAGTTCTATTTTTTTTTTTTTTTTTAATAAATAATCTATAAAGAGGGTGTAGGTGAGTGGATGGAGTATGAAAAAGATATCAGAAAAGAATACATATATGCATAATGTTCTTATAAAAAGATTTAGTTTTCAATCACGAATCAATTTAAACATTATCATATATTTATGTCTTAGATTCTGCATATAAGTGTCCTCTTAATTTAGTAATTGGTATGCATAATTATGTATGAAATATGTTGTGCAGGTTCAGATGGAAATGAGATTTTTGGTTTTAAAGAATTATGGTTTTTTTATAGGCTTCGACTTTTTTTTTTTTTATAGACGACGATTTTTTTTTTTTTGATGACGATTTTTTTTTTTTTGGACGTCGAATTTTTTTTTAAGCGTCGGCGTATTTAAAATTCGATTCGGAATTTTGCTATTTTTCTAATACTTTCAAAGAAGTTTTCTCGGGTGTGATTTAATGAGCAAGGATATTACTAATGCTCATAACGTTTGATTTATGATTATTAGAATTGCGATTACCAAATAATAGAGTTCCCAATTGTGTAGAAAACGAGACCAATTCATTGGTTTCCATCTTTGAAAAATCAATAGCATTATAGCAAAAAAGTGAAGAATTTGCAGAAGGAGCCGAATTAGAAGAATTTTTAGGCTTGGGACTAGGACTAACGGCTATATTAAGATCTCGGATTAATTTTTCTAGTCGATTTATTCTAGCACTTAAGCAATTAACATCATCATCGCCGCTTTTTGTGCATTTAGAGCATTGATGATAATTATTGCATGTAACATTTGTTTTATTCTGATTATTATTGGATTGAGGGCGAGAGTAAGGAAATGTAGATGAACGATTGAAAGCGGTGAGGGGTTTTCTATCAACATTTTCACCTCCAGGTACAGTCATTCTTCGAGTAGGAGTTCTCTTGACTTTAGTCATTTTTTTGAAAAAAATTTTTTTTTTAAACTATGGTAAATTTAAAAGCTTTATAAGAAATTATTTTTATATCTTTTTTCGTTAATATAATTTATTATTTTATTTTTTTATTATTTGTTGGTGAAAAATAAGAAATGGTGCGGCGCCGGCTATTTATACTTTTTTTACTTATTACGATATTCAAATATATCCAAATAAGGAAGTGATGTTCTATTAGATATATAAAATGCTCTACTTATTTGCCCAACTTACATCATTTGTCACACTTGCCATTATTGTCATTGATTGTGTGTAATGAATAACGTCAAGGGTCAATGGTATATCATGTTATACGGCCTGATCAAAGATTGGCTAGTTAAAAATAGCTAACCAATCCAATTTTTGATCAGTTTGTGTAATGTTTTCTTATTAGCCGATACGCTTTTAGATTATTCTAGATGGAAGTAATATCATAAACATTATTTGTGTACTATATACACTGTTATAGCGATAAAAGGAATTATATAGATATGTTCAGTACGTAGGTATTTTATTTTCATATAATGAATATGCATGAATTTTTTACTTAAAATTAAACGAATAGAATAAACTAGTTAGGTCAAGTTACTATTTTAAATGTAAAAATTCTTTATAGCAAAAACAATTATTTGAACGTGCATAGCCTGTCATTATCAAGTGTCAGAGAAACGATAGAATTTCTTTTACATGCAATGATGCAGCGAATGCAGAAGAATGCAGAAGAATGATCACCGAGTGACATTTGACACTTTTCTAGAAGCAGAAGTTCATTTCTAAATTAGTAAAAGAGTTCCCCAGAATTTTTTATGCATACGATTTGCAAGGATACAAAAATAGAAAGGTCGCAATGCTACGTATTAATTGTTAAATTACTATGTCTATGTATGAATTCATTATGTGACGTTTACAATCATTCATTATTAGTATCTATATATTAAACGGTCTTTATCAGTGTATTATGTGCTGTTTGGTGAAATAATATGGCCGATGTTTTTAATGGGAATTTTAATTCAGCTACCTAGTCACAAATTAATTTGTGACACACTCTATTTTCGTATACGGTAAAATATTTTAACGAATATATCCTCGTCTATTTTAAAATGATCTTCGTACTCACTTTTTCAATACGTAGCAAATGACGTTTGAATGGGGCATCACTAAAAAAAAATAAGTCACGTGTAATTTCCATTTTCGAGATTTTTACCAATTTTGGAATTGGCTGACGCTATTTTGATAATAACAATTTCTTAGAAAGATACATGCATTTGCTAATGTATACGTATTTTCAGAAATGTGTGATACGAGAACTTTCTTTGTTAAAAGGGGTGAACTGCGTACAATCAGTTGACAGTATATGCACGGCGGCATTGGGCCACTTAACTTATAAACTGGAATATTGGACTTATTATTATATAGAGGTTTGATCCAGTCAAAAAATAAACCGTGAATATCCAGATAAATTCTTGAATATTCGATGCATTCATAATTCATGTGCTGATTTGTATTTAAGATTTAAAGTTTTACCAATTGACATTAAATGTTTTTTATTTAATTATTAATACGTATAATTTTTTTTATTTAATTAATAATGCGTACGTATAATTTTTTTTTTTATTATTTAATTATATACAGATAATAATATAATTTTTTCTTATTTAATTATATAATATTATATAATAATACGTATAATTTTTTCTTATTTAATTATATAATTAATAATGATTTGAAATTACTAAAAAGTTTAAAATTGATTTAACGGTGTTTAGCTGTTTAACAACTTACTTTAATATCGCATTCGGAAGTTTTAGGCTAACGATCAACATCATTTAGCCTAAACTATGAGGCACAGCTAACGTTAAATAATCATTTTCCGGAATTATCATGTTTCGGAATTATAGCAATAATTTAAACTTGTATCTTTCTGAATATATTCAGAAGTACACGTCCTATGAAAAGCCTCAAGTCTTCTCTTGCCTCATAAAAAATTTTTATATAGAAAATATACAAAAATTATATTGAATATACTGAAAATATATAGAATTTATACCAAAACGTTGCAAAAACTCAACGAAAACTCAACGGTTTAAATCGATCTAAAACGTTAGGTTTTTGTTGAGTTTTGCAACATTTTGGTATAAATTCTATATATTTTCTGTATATATAGTCAATATATTTTCTGCATATTTTCTATATAAATATTTTTTATTGGGTTGGGCCCAAATAATATGCCTATAAATGCAATACCTCTTTAAATGCTCATTTGGCCGTATTGCATTTAGAGAAGTCTAACTGTATCATGAATTTTAATGGTAACTCAATACTAGGGCTTTGCAGGTGCCAGGCACGGGTACTATGTTTTAATAGTGCCAGGCACCATTTCATATGATAGTCCGTGCCCAGCACTTGCAGAGCCCTTGAAAATCATGTTATGGGTCATATGTAGGGATCAACATACGCCCATGCAGGCCAGGCACTAGTACGTACCTTCTAAGTCCCTAGGCACAAATTTCCAGGCACATTATGGGTACGGGCAGGCACTATAAGGGTGCAGGCGCAAATGTGGCATTAACCTTAAGAGGTCACGGCCACGTGATACTGTGTAATAGTGGGTTTGTACGGCTGAACAGGTGCTATGGAAACCAAGTTTAATTATGAACTTTATGAATTGATAATTTACTCAGTGCTTAAGACAGTAAGATTCAGTGTTGGTATTCAAATGACCAATGACCAATGACCAAATGAATTGGTCATTGGTCATTTACGTTTGAAATGACTAAATGACTGATAACAAGCTTAGAATTTAATTCTCTTAATGCATCGATTTCAGATTGGTCATGTCTTTAAACTGTTTTTTATTGGTTAATTCAATTGTTATCTTTGTGCAAAAATGTAATCAAAATTAACAAATAAAACCACGTGTGCGTTCCGAAACGGAACGCAGATGCCAAGAAAATTTCATGTATTAATACAATGGCGAAATACACATGCAAAAAGTAAGCTGATTATGTATGCGAAATCAGCCACCAGGGTCAGCTTTATTATATTCAAAAAAAAAACTTGCACTTTGAATTAAATAAAAAAAAATGAATCAAGCTGATACATTATACAAAATTATCATATATAATACACTTATTGCTTCTGTCAGGATTAATATCAGTTATAAATGAATAGGATTCAATGTAACATAAGTTTGTAATGCAGTTTTCTAGTTTTTTTCAGAAGTAAACATTAATATTAAAATTTCAGATACTAACCCGTTTAGAGTCAAATGGTAATTGATGGCTAACTAACTTTTGCTCTTATAAACTATTGGTTAGTATCTTAAAGCTTTATTTTCCAAATCAATACCGAAATAAAAGTTGTACAGTATATATGATGCACTACATAAATTGCAGAACTTTTCAATATAACTTTTCATGAATAAATTTACTTGCATCAATTTTTACCCATAGCATCGAAAATCGCCTGTTGTATTTCGTATAGATCGATTGCAATTCCAGGCGCAGAAGTTTGCGAAAGAACCTGAAGAGGAGGGAGAGGAGGAGCACATCCCTCATAAATACAATCACGGTCAATTGTAAGCCATTTCGTTTGAGGGGCCGGGCAAAAATTACTAGCCTTTCCGTTTGCGTCAACAGTCCCAAACTCAATCTACCATTTTTAAATATGAGTAAACAGGTGAAAAAAAGGTCATTCGCAAAATTCCATGATATTTACCTCTTGAATTGGATCAAATGTCGTAGCGTTTTGGTTTAGCTGAAGAGTTGTACGTCGACAGAATTTCAAACACTATCGGAAATAAAAAAAAATGAATGATTAAGTGGAAAGAGCAAGAAAAATCTCATAAATTACGGAACAATATTGAACTCGCAAACGACGCAAAGGTTGTCCACTTTGATTGCGGCGCCTATTATTCCAATTGCCCAATCTAATAACAATCACATCCTCGCAACGGTTTGGACCTAGCCAAAAGTTGTTGATCTTGTCCTTTACGTGTTCAAACGTTTCAAAGGAAACAACCTCGAGGATAATAGTTGGCCATGGGTTTCTCTAAAGTTTACAAATTAACATCAAATATATATTTTTATTCCAAACAATCATATCCAAATTACATACACCATAATCGCATGGATTAGGCACCGGATTTTGCAGATTTAGCAGACGTCGAGGCACAAAACAGGCATCGGGTTCTTTATACTCTCCTGTTGCTAGGTCGAATAAACCTGAACTCAACGTAATTAAGTTCGGTATAATAAGATTCATGCAAAACTAAATCATCTGGACCTACTTTTCGCTCCCCAACCCCTAATGTTATCCTGAGATGCTACATTTCTAAATTGATCACAAATTTGTCGATTGAATTCACTTATTGCACCTTCATGGTCACCATATGGCAACTCAATAATCGTCACAATGCCCTTATCATAGTCCCAAAATCTTCCCGCCTTGGCATCTTCAGTTTTTTTGGCAAACTCCTTGAACGATACATCTCTTGCAAGGACAAAAGGAAGTCTAATGAAACAAATCGAACCTTAATATGGGCAATTGGAAAAACTACTATGACTCTCATTATGTTCCAGCTTACCTTTCGCCGTTAATAGACGGATAAGTTCCTTTAACCCACCAAAATTTTTCTTTGTTGGTTGCCTCCATACGCTAAATTATAAGCTGTATCTTATTGGCTGGCATATGGTCAGTTGTTCAATCACACGATATGACCAAATGACAAATGACCTGGGTCATCTGGGTAGGGTTCTGCAAAACGCCCATGCCAGGCACTAGTGCCTCATCTATCAAAATTCCAGGGCACTAGATGCCAATAGTGTCCGGTATTTATATTTATATGTATTTTGTGCCCATGCCCCATACCGAATTAGCCCGGTTTGCAGAACCCTACGTATCTGGGGTTTACTTGGCCATTTGGTCATTAGAGTCAGATGACTGATACCTTCGAATTTGTCAAAATAAGTTATTATGTCAGAATGATGTAATATATCGATATGTGGAACCTTCACATGCAATTTTCTTAAATACTATCATATGAACAGCTCTGCGGCAAATTACTGACCTATTAAATCATGACTATGATGAACTTACGTAACTCCAAATTGGTGGAACAGAGGCCAAAGCCAATATATCAAAATAATATTTATTACGTAGTTATATCGAGAGCCACGTGTATATACAATAGGACGTTGATCATACGAATTTACTAATTATTTATCGAAGTGTAGAAAAAAACCTCAAAAATTCTTTTAAGTATCATGTAAAATCAAAAATCATGTTTTCAAGAAAAATTCAGATTCGACATTATTTTTATTAGATTTAATATTCGATTTAGAAAGATTTTATTTACTGTACATAAAAAAAAAGAAAAACAACATCTATACCAAGCAATGATAAAACAAACCGAATAACGAGATGGCCGTTGCTGGGAATCAAACCCCACTTTTTTACAATAATACTATTTCGTTTGATTTGAACAATAAAGATTGTTCATTGGATTTTGCGAAGACGCGGAAACAATAGAAATAATTCGAAAATGGAAAGGCTAATAATCTTTGCTCAGGTTCCAAATGCAATGGCTTACAAATTGACCGTGATTGCATCTATGCGGGGTGTGCTTTAGAGTTGGCTCCGAAACCCTTTGTGCCCAAATCCGAAAGTTTCAGGTTTCGGATTATAGCTTCCGAAACCTTATCCGAAACTCGAAACCTCATCCGAAACCTGAAACCCGAAACCTGAAACCTTATCCGAAACCCGAAGCCTCATCCGTAACCCCGAAACCGCAGAACTTCAATTTTCATACATGCAAACAAATAAAATTGCTTTTCATTACCCGACCGAGTAACTTTTTTAGAAAAGTTACCGATGTTCTCATAAATTCTAGGACAACAAAAAATTTCTGATGGCCGAACTCGGAAACTTATTGAATTCGGTTATCAGAAATCTTTCGTTGTTCCAGAATTTATGAGAACAACTGTAAAATTCGTCTATATAAAATTTTTATTTTTGTATGAAAAAAAATTTATAAAAATTTTTTTTATATGAAAAATTTAAAATTATTCATCGCGACGCATCACCCTATAATTAAATCAAAAACAAAACAAACAACAATTGGGATAAAGCTTAGGTTAGGATTCGGGTAGAGAAATAATTAGGGCAGTTTCATGGGCAAATTAAGAGTTAGAAGCGGTTTTTTGCATCCTGATTGGTCAACTAGGGTTTCGGAGGTTCGGATTATAGTTTCGGGAATTTCGGGTTTCGGTTTTTTTTAAAAAATCAGAACCTTCCCGAAACTAGTTTCGGGTAGGTTTCGTTTCGAGGCCAACTCTAGTGTGCTCATCTCCTTTTCAGGTACTTCCTCAAACCTCTGCTCCTGGAATTGCAAAAGCTTCAATGCTATGATGAAAACGGTCTAGATATTCCGTACATGTAGTGTAAATTGAAGATAAGGAATCCGTTCTTGATACTGGCGCACCTGAAACCTTACTTCCCTTTTACATCCGTAGACAACTTAGAAGAGCAGGGTGGTAATGGAAGTAGTGAAACTATATGTTGCCATTTGAACTCAATGCCGAATAAGTGATCTAGCAATCAGACAAAAATATATATCTGTCTTTTTGTAATGATGCATGAAATCTATGCAAGTTTTTGATACAAGCGATTTATCATATAGCATTTATGAAAAGCTATATTTGAAGTTGAGAGTACTACAATCGTCCTACACTTGTATATGGTGCACCATAGATAGAGCAAGAAAAGAAGTAAACAACGTAAAAGTCAAAAGTCAAATAATAAAAAGTTCTCTGATTTATATTAAAATTTCAGGATATGTGTCGAACAACTTAGTCTATTCTCAAGCATCTAAATCAGTTGATCAGATAATAATCGCGATAACGTTCAAGCATCACGATTGATGACGATATTTATAGAATTAAATGTTTGAGCATACTTTTTCTGAAAAAAATAATTCAAATATTCACTATAGAAAATTTCATTACTTCGAACTTTAACTGTATAAATTTAATCATTTACACTTAGCTCCTTGCCCAGCATCGATCTAATCGAAGTCGCGTTACAGCAAAAATAAAGGAAGCGGTTTTCTCCGTTTATGGTGCGTCTTTGCTAGACCGCCTCGACGCTAAAGCCACGTCACAGGTCATTTCTGATTGGAAAAATCTATACTTTTTTTTTCTATCAGCATCTTTTTCGACATATTGTTATTAAGCAATGAATAGATCATGCCGAAAAGAATTAGATTACCCTGGTAACATGTTATTTTACAAGATCACCGGTTTGCTCAAACACAAAAAAATGTCCCTTAGCCAAATAATATAGATAAATAATGCAATACTAGTGCCTACATTAGAATACAGACTTATGCTTTCGTGCATAAGTTTCTATAAAATTTTAGAAAAAAATTTACCTTGCTGTAATCCCGAGATATCGGAGAAATACTCTGTTTATTTTAGCGGCGACATCACGGCAATTAGTGATAAAAATATCAAAGATTGGTTAGAGGCGAAGTTTCAGAGGGTTGAAATCGTCCACGTCAGGCGTTTCATAAGTAAAAAGTAAAGTATACATGATATTATGATGTAAGATCAATTTACGTATTTATAAATTTTTTTATTTATAGTCATATTTTACGATTTTTACGTTAATATTAATTAATATGATTGCATTTCAGCCTAAATCAAGAATGCAATAAAAGGAATAAAAGGTTCTTTGACATAGCCACTTCGTAGCTACCTCCAGCAAAAAAAAAGTTGAAAAAAAATTAAAAAATTGTATTTGATACATTCTAATAAAAATATCAAAAAAAAGTTGTTGTATTTTTAAATTATATATTATACATAGTCAAATAATTTTCTATTAACTAATACTGCAATAATAAGTATTCGTGTTGATGTTTACCGCTATAGTTTTTCCCAATTTTACCTAATACAATTTATGAAGTTAGATCTGTAATTATTAATATCTGAGATTTCAAATTTTGGTTCTATTTAGTACGCAGCATAAAATAAGCCATAGTAGAATTTGGTATATTTGTCGACCTCCATCATTGAATACAAGTCAGATAAAACAATTGCTTTTATTATATTGAGATTAATAGTGTTAATTTTGATTAAAAATAATATAACTATTGTGCATACAAGAAAGGAAGAAAAAACTTTTTCAAAATCCAGATGAGACCAAATTCAATATCAAGTTCCATATTAAAATAAATATAATCTTCTCAAATAGACAGGATAAACCTCATTGCTTATTACATTACTCCTCCGGCAATTCTACAACGACAGGTGCATACTCTCCTTCTTCCGCTTCTTCATACTCATTTGGTAACTCTAACCGAAATCGCTGATCAAGGAATCCTCGAAACTTGTTAAATCGACGTCGCAATGATTTTAGATGAGTAGAAGAAGGTTGTGTCGATAAATCTAAAATGGTCTTGTCTAGGATCTTTGTAGAACGTTCAATAGATAAATAATGGTTTAATAAAGTAATAATTGAACGTCGATTAGAAATAAACAGTCAACCCTTCTTAAATGTATACACGCACTAAATTTAAATTCTCTAAATACAGACATGATGCAGTTAAATTTATAAATCATAATCATTTACTCCTTTAAATGCAAATCAACAAATTTGCTGTACAGCCCTGGTGAATTGCACAAAGAGAGTTGACTGTAAATGAGATCATGTACAGATGAGAATTAAGTTAAACCTTTAAAACATGTGAAAGAAAATTATCTTCAGATATAACATCTCGAAAAAAGTCAATCGGACATTCTTCAAGTTGAAAATTTAACACATCTATCAATATATACTGTTATTAATATTTAAATCAACTAAATTAATCAAAAGCGATAAATATAAAAAAAGATACCGATGAATTCCAAGAAAAGCGTCATTGCATAAGTATTAATTGCCTCTTTACACATACAAATCAATTGCACTAAATTCTTCCATTGTGTGAACCCCGCAAAATTTTGACCTATCAGTAGACATACAAAGGATAGTTGAAGTTCACCTAAAAGCTCTTTGTGGTCTAATGTTAAAATGAAAGAGTTTATAATTAGTTATCATTGACAACAATAATATAAACACAAAAGATTATGACTTATTGATATAGAACTTTCCATTTTTATATACAGAAGAAAGAAGTTCGCACAACAGCCAACTTTTATCTTGACTATATTTCGTTATCTCTTGTCCAATGGCACCAGGTCTCCAACTCTTTTTTAAGTCAAATTTTGCGAAAAGAATAATGTCCTCATAAAATTTCGAAGAGCCTTTAATGTTTAATAACTCATCTTCATCTACTGTTGATGATGAAACGTTATTCATCCTTCCTTCATTAGGTAATATACGAGAAATCAACGAAGGGGTTATATAATTTGTTAGATTAACCCATTTTTTCCAATCAGTTGGCGGTGTTAGTGGATATACGCCAAGAAATGAATCAAATTGACGCATGTCTAAGTAAAAAGATGGTAGCCTTTTCTTTTAGTGCTTAATTAAATGTCGGGAATAGAATAACAATAATTAGTCTTAGGTTAAGGATAAGTGAATTAATACCAGATTTTAAACGTTCATTCTGTTCTGGATCCGTCTCATCATTTTTTTTTATATCTTCTATATTGGGATCCCAATATTTGATCACTACCTAAATAATTTAAATTAGATTTACTCTGATTAAGCGATAATAATTAATTAATTAAACAAATATATTACCTCCTTTGATTCATAAAATTTAAAGAACCCACTCCTAAGTCCCGAAGTACCAGATTTATCTGAAGTACTTTAAAAAAAATAATTGAACAGCTAGATAAAAAATAAAAATGAATATGTATTTAAAAATCGAAATTCTTAATAAATCAAACCTATAATAAACAAAATGTAACCCCGGGGGGATGAGCTTTACTCCTTTAAATCGTGGACCTATTTGCCATGAATTATAATCTATTCCAAACTTTTTGTTCATTGAAAAAACAAATTTTTTATTATATTTAAAATTTAACCGATTATAAGATTGGTAAATTACAGTAAATAATCAAACCTCCAGCCCTTCAGGTGCATCCAAAAATAGCAAAAAAGCACCTTTATCAAATAAAATTTGTGCTGTTTCCTGATCCATTAATTGAGAAAGCTAAAATTTGAAATACAAGTAAATGAAGTTTTTTATAGTTATTGGTTATTGTATTTGATGATTTTCATCAAATGTGATTTGCTGATATTTATGTCAGATTAAATGTCACGGGGATGCTAAAATCGGATCTCTTGAAAACATAACACAAATGTCGTATATTAATAAAATAGCGATAGGTCTAAATTTTAGCACAATCCTCATATGAGCTGATTTTTGCAATTGACAAAATCAGCCCATATGTATTTTAGCATGATTATTAGACGCACCACGATCTTAATTAGAGATGTGCCTCTTAGCAATTTCACATTTCATATGACTTCGTGAGATGCGGGATAACTTCTTCATTCGCGCGAGATATAGCATCATATTATTAATTTGCATGAAGATGATATCAGCATCTCGCGCATGAATACGTAATATATTTATGCATGAACACCTAGCAATGATATCCATTGTCAGAATTTATTAATTGCACGCGTATTTGTCAGACTTTCACTCTGCAATACCCATATGTAAATTCTTACGTTCGTGTCCACAAACCTTGACCTATTCATAGGTTTACGTGTAAGAGAATTTGGATTCAGATAAATTCCAAATTCATTTATCATAGGTTCACAAATGTACAATTGTTTAAAAACATCGTAAACTAATGTTTGTTTTCTAAAATATCTTTAAAAATTTATTCTCTATTATACATTGAAATTATGTGGATAGTAGTCACTTCCACATATTGAATTTGAGCGTCTACATTTATAATTGCATTTCGTACCAACTATAGTAGAAGTTGACCGCATTCTTTCACTAATAATTTTAATTTCATTTACGTGTCTTGATTGGTAATTTCTCAAACTTTGTAAGGCAGTCTATGTCTAACAAATAGCTTTTTATTTTCAAGAAATTCATTTGATCATTAAAACTTGTTTTAAAATATATAGAAGAATATGGATCGACACTTGGAGTAAACTTTGCATATGGCTACTACCGTAAATCACCGTGTACTAGACCCGCGGGTCTCTTGTATAGGTGTGAGTCTGATAATGGAAGTTTATTCAATTTTTTTTTGTTTTTTCTTATTTGTGTCTTACATTTTATCAAAACTTTAACCTATCTTATAGACTTGGGCATGATACATGGTAATATACTGTGCTATTCCAAGGGTCCTGTATACGGTAACCATGGCAGCTTATCGAAAATATATTTGTAGTTTATTTAATAAATTTTAGGAAACCTAAAAATTTGCTCGTTTCCCGAACCTCTTCGATCCTGTTCTAAGAATCACTTAACTTTTCAGAAACTATATCGCTGTCTCTGTATCGAAATTTCAAAACTGCGAAGTAATTTCCGAAAAGTTAGGTAATTTTTAGAGCGAGATCGAGAGGTTTCGGTGTCCCAGAATTTATGAAAGATCAGAAATCAATCGAAGTCGACTTGAATTACAACATTTTGAGTGACGTTAAAAGAGAATCAGTAAATTTACTTTCAATAAAAATACAGTGATTGAACACTTGTTATTATAATATCATTTGAATATCTAAATAAGACGATTCGAATAACATTAAAATCATGGTGTTCAATTACTTGACTTATAAAGTACAGGTGAATCTTGATATAAGAAAGCTACCGGGTCCAATAAGATTTTCTTATATCAAGAGCTTTTTATTGTAAAATTTTTAATTGGGCTTGCAAAATCTTTCTTATATCGAGAGTTTCTTATATCGAAGGTTTCTTATACGTATCGAGAGTGCTTGTATATATGCATATTTTGGTTATGGGTATCGGCGGATTTGATAAATAGAAAAACCCATGAGCGGTAACTCTGATCAAATTTGCAGATCATTTGGCCAGCTTTGAAGTCAAATAATTTCAAACCTGGCCAAATGATCTGCAAATTTGACCAGAGTTACGGCTCATGGGTTTTTCTATCCGCCGATATGGAAAAGTAAATATTTGATTTACTTGCCGTCACTCGAACGTCATGTAAAAAGTCGTGCAGCTTAAATGGAGAATGGCCTAGGAAAACCTGCCTTCGGCATTAGCTGTTGAAGGCAGGTTTTCCTAGACCATTCCCCAAATAACCTAGCGAGATTTTAGGCAAGGACATACTGTACACCAAATTTTTATATTAAAAAAATATTGGCCAATTAAAATTTTTTAAAAGATTTATAAATCGCGTGTAACATCGGATTGATCGTTAAATCTAAAATTTTTCGACTTGCGAATGTTCGTTATTCGAACTTTAGATTGTAAGAAAATTCTTTTCAATTATTATTAATTAATTTATTATTCAAATTATTCAACTAATTTCATATATACACATAGCCCTTATATTAAGATCAAAACCATTTACCAAGTTTCCCTTACCCAGTTCTATTTTACGTACCGTCAAAATGAGCGATACCAAAGTTAATAAAAAGCGTTTAATGTCTTCCGATGAAGATGATAAATTGGAAACAGATACCAATATTTTAGATTCCAAAAAATTGAAAGTAGACTCTGAAGATATTGTTTATCCTAATGAATCTTCTCAAGTAGAAGGGTCCACTCAGTGGAAATTACGAATTAAGAATGAATTGGAAACAGATACCAATATTTTAGATTCCAAAAAATTGAAAGTAGACCTTGAGGATATTGTTTATCCTAATGAATCTTCTCAAGTAGAAGGGTCCACTCAGTGGAGATTACAAATTAAGAATGAATTGGAAACAGATACCAATATTTTAGATTCCAAAATATTGAAAGTAGACTCTGAGGATCCTAATGAATCTTCTCAAGTAGAAGGGTCCACTCAGTGGAGATTACGAATTAAGAATGTACCTAAATTTGCGTCGACCAAAATGATTAAAGAATTGTTAGCTAAGCATAGTTGCGGTGATGTTAGAATTAAAAAGTCCCATTCATGGGACTTTTGCTATGCTTTTTTCAAAGTAAAGAATTATTAAAAAAATTATTATTGTATGGCCTATAATATTTTATTTTATTTATCTATTTATTTCGTTATTCAGACGCAAGAGCAACAGATGCAGGCAATTGACAAATTAAAAAATGTTAATTTCAAAAATAGGACGTTAGTTGTAAATATTGAGAATATTACTGAGCAAGTAAGTTAGTAAATTATTATCATAATTATTATTCAATATAATAAAATATAATATAATATAATATAATATGAAATTTTTATATACTTATCAATATTATATTACCTTTATTCAGGATCGGCAATCTCTGTTTAATCAAAGGCATGAAAAAAGAAAAAAAAACTTTTTTGATCCTACTGGTGAAATTCAACGTTCGCCAGAAGAATTGCTCGCTGACCAAGTAACACCGTTGCACAAGTATGACCGTTTCTTATTGCGATTGATCTACTCACTATATGTAATTAACAATCATTATCTTTTTAGACTGTCCTATGAAGAGCAATTAAACCATAAGGAAGACTTGATAAAAAAGTCTCTTTCTAAATTCCGTAATAAAATTAAGGAGTTGTACAAGGAAAGACCATTATATAAGCCAGGATGGGCTATTGGAAAGTAATTATCTATTGATTTATTGATTTTATTTCGCACCTGACTTAACTTCATTTTGTTATATTAGGTCCGATTCAAATCTTCCTTGCATTTTACAACCGATTATTTCTTCACCTATAAATGAAGGATATCGAAACAAATGCGAGTTTACTATTGGAAGAAATTTCAATGATGAAATTACAGTCGGTTTTTTATTAGGATCTTTCAAAGACGGAATTAATACTGTTATAGTAATTAAATTATTATAATCTGACAGTAAATAAATTTATTTAAAAGAATTTAATCCATTCTTTTTTTGTTAACGAATTAGGAACCGGATAAAGCTCTTAATGTAAGCGATTTAGCAAAAAAGATTGTAAAGGCTATGAAGGTTTGTTAAAAGCTATAATTTTAATACTGCTAAAATCTTTTTATTTTATTGACTATTCTGCTTCATGTTTACTTAGGATTACATTGTTATGTCTCCATATGATGTATACGATACTAAGAACAAAAAAGGTATATATATGGTTTAAATTCAAAAAATTAGTAATAACCTCTGTAAATGTGTTAATGCGTATTTATGAAATCAACCAGGTACATGGCGTATGGTTACTGTACGATCACAAGTTAGTGATGATGGTAGGATATCATATCTCCTACTGTATTAAACCAATCTTTTATTTTTCTTGAGATCACCATTGATTTTTTTTTAAACTTTATTTAGTAATGATTATTATTCAAATTCATCCGCAAGAATTAACTGAAGAGAAAATAAGTCAAGAAAAAGTAGCATTGGCAGAATATTTTTGAGACCTTTGCACGTGAAGAAAATTTTAATTTGACATCGCTTCTTTTGCAAATATATGATGGGGTTAATAATGGAATAGCCGATGATAAACCATTTGATTGTATATCTGGTACGCATTTCATCTTTGAAAAGATGATGGATTGTAGGTTTGTGCTTTTATATTCATAAAATGATCGTGTTTATTTCTTATTATTAACTCGTTTCTATTTTAAAGGTTTCGTATATCTCCTAGAGCGTTTTTTCAAACAAATACGCTTGCTGCTCAAGTTTTGTATGAAAAATGCGGTGAATATATAAAAGATTTATTCGTTTCCAAAAAAGAACCTGTAATTTTGATTGATATGTGCTGTGGAACTGGAACTATTGGGATTGCGTTGTCTAAAAGCTTGGATGATAAAATTAATAAGGTTATCGGAATTGAACTTTGTGAAGAAGCCGTTGAAGATGCAAAATTCAATGCCACTTTAAACGGTAAGCTTTAGTGTAATAAATATTTCTATTCTCTTTACTTATTATTAATAATTGAATGTGTTTATTAGGAATTAATAATTTTGAATACATTCTTGGTCCTGTTGAAAAGAATTTAAGGACTTTGTATTCGTATAAACAAGCAAATGCTGGTACAGTAGTTGCAATTGTGGATCCACCTCGGTAATTTTTTGATTATCACTTATCGAGAAAATTTTTTAAAAGTTAAAAAGATGAACTTATTGATTTATTTAATAGTGCGGGTGTTCATAAGAATGTAATTAAAGCACTTCGTGAATGTAAAGCAATTGATTATTTTTTGTACGTTTCTTGTGACTGCAATTTGGCCACTCAAAATTTTATAGAGTAAGTATATTTATTATATATAAAATTTTAAATTTCAAATTGTCACGCAACATAATAATTTATAATATTTTTGATTTAGTTTATGCCGACCTACAACCAATAATTTCCCTGGAATTCCATTTAAACCGGTTCGAGCAGTTGGTGTAGATTTATTTCCACATGCAAAACAAGTAGAATTATTAATTGAATTTCATAGAGATAAAGATTATCCAACCAAAGATAGTTTAAAAAGTGATTAATACGATCTTAAAGAGATATATAAGTTAAAAATTAGTTAAAAATTAGTACATACTTTTATATTACGAATAAAAATATTAAAGGATAAAGAGTATATATTAATGTGTCTGGATGGTTAGTGAAAATTTTTTTGATTTTATTACTTAAAGAGTTTACTGGAATGAGGCTGGCGTGTAGCTAGAGCTTTGGGTTACCCACTCGCAAATAAAATTTCACCCGGATACAAGATTGGATACTCTGGGTTATCCGGTTAACACGTCCACTGTATATATTAAAAACCTAGTGTTTGACTGATAGTTCTAATCTATATATTAGTATTTCTAACATTGTCTGCCAAGAAATACATATTTGCTACTAGTACGGATATCGATATCCTCAACCGAAATATTCAGATTTTAAATCTCAACTATAATCATACCTACATCCTATGCTACGTTAAATATTTCTTAGAATTCACTCGCAAATGAAAAAGAAAAATCATTGTTCACTATATTACATTTATTCATGACTTGAATACATCGATTGATAACAATTTCATTTTTTATAAATTAGCCGGTTAGGCATAATTTACTTGACTAAATTTCAAAATCACGGTCTCAGGATTAGCGGGTTGGGGAGTCGAATCTCTATTTGCGCCACTATGCTTTGATTAATACAATTAATTATATTTATTGTGTGTCTCTATACTATTAAGTAATGAACCAAAAAATTTTTAACTTCTATAATCTAGATTTAATACCATTGTCCATTATCATTACCATATATACAAATTTTTTTTTTTTTTACTACATTTCTACATTCCTACATTCCTACAGCTTTCATACTATTAAATGTAACCTCATTGGGATTTACCCCAAATTTTTTCATCTCATGATAAGTCTTGAATACTTTATCCTTTTTGCCAACCATAGCCCAAGCAGATATTAAACTATTAAAAGAACTAATATCTGGTTTAACATTATTATTTATCATAGTAAAAAACATTTTTTCGGCTTTAAAAGGTTCATTTGATCTAGCAAAACCTTCAATTAAAACATTATAACAATAACAACTAGCCGGAATATTTCTTTTTAACATTTCTTCAAATACTTTAAGAGCAAATGTCATATTTCTATGATGAAATACAAAACTTGTCATAAATATAGTAAAAGAATAAATATTTGGTTTTGAATTATAATCAAGATAATTTGTATTATCAAAGTTTTTTAAAAAATTTTCGAAAAGACTATAAGCTGTTTCAGAATCTTGAACCTTTTCAAGTTTATCATTTAATTTTATTGTATCTTTAACATGTTGTGGTGTTCTTGATATAGGTAAAAATTTTGATGAATTTTTTTGTTCTCGCTGTTGTTGAGAGATATCAAATTTTAAATTTTTTATAGAAGCTATCGCACGATAAGTTGCTCTATGAGGTTTTATACCAGATTTGATCATTTCATTATAAACTTGTTGAATTTTATCAATTCTCCAAACTTGAGCCCAAGCTTTGATTAAACTTGTATAAGTAAATACATTAGGTTTAATGTTATTAGATTTCATAATTTGAAATTGTCTATTTGCCTTTTCAACTTGACCTAATAAAGCATAACCTTCAATTAATATAGTATGAGTTACAACATCGGGTAAAATATTTCTTCTAATCATTTCACCATAAACTTCTTGAGAGAGTGTCATATTTCCATAATTATGAGCAAATATTGTAAGAAAATGATTAAAAATATGACGATCAGGTAAAAGTTGAAAATTTAAATCATCATTCTTATCAATTTGTATCAAAAATTCCTTATATATATCATAAGCTTCTTCAATATCTTTTGTAAGTCGTAATCTTGATTTTAAAAAAATAGTCCATGATTTAATATCAGGTGAAATTCCATTATTATAAAATGAAGGATTTGAATAATATTGTTTAAAAATATTATGAACCATTTTTGAATCATTTTTTTCAAAATATAATTGCATTAAAATATTAATTACAGTTGAATTAATATTTATTCCATTATTCATCATATATGAATAAATTTTTTGTGCACTTTCTTGATCACCGACTTTTAAATATCCATCAATCATCATTGCAAAAGTATAAATATCTGGTTTTATTCCAAATCTTATAATTTCATTATAAAATTGATTTGCAGCTTTCATATCGAATTTAATTATTGAATTATGTATTAGAGTATTATATAATCTAATATCCGGTTGTATATTAAAAGATTTCATGGCTTTAACTATTTCTTCAGCTTGTTCTATTTTATCTTCTTTTATACATGAATTTATAAGTGATGAAAAAATTTTGGTCGTTGGTTGTTTATTACAAGATATCATCTTATTATAAAATTTTAGAGCTTTTTTTGTATCCTTTTGCTTTCCGAATCCATCTATCAATATTAAATATGTTACAGAATCTGCTTCTATTCCATTTGATATCAGTTCTTCATAATATTCTATCGCTTTGTTCATATCTTGTTTTACTGAGTATATATGAATTATACAATTGTATGTATAAACATCTTTTTTTATGTCAAATTCGTCAAGACTATTAAATAATTGAATTGCACCATCAAAATTTCCAGCTTTTTTAAGATAATCTAATGTTAAATTGGCTTGATATGTTTCTGCAGCATTTTTATTAATTATATTATATTGGATTTTAAGTGTAGGAGAGTAGTTGTTTGGCAAAACTATTTTACTTAATGATGTAAAACGATACTCTTGACGAAATGATGAAACTCTAGAGAAAGGTGAAGCACTTGGCGAAATGATGAAAAATCCCTTGGAGAAAGACGAAACATCTGAAACTTTAATGAAAGATGAAATTCTAAAAAAGATAAAAGGTTGTGCTATGGTTGGTAAACGAAACCATTTTTCCATGATGTGTAAAGTCGAAACTCTTCTAAATGAAAATAATAAAACGCTGAGGCTAAATGTAGGACTTTTTGTATCAGATAGATTTTCACTGATCTACGTCAATTGACCAATAAAATTCATGAGATTAATGCACGAAGAATTTTTTTTTTACGAAATACTTAGACTCAAAACTGCATGTTTATTGAGCCTTTGGGTGATTTTATTTTATTTTTCATGATTCTTTTAAAGTGATACGATCATTTTTTTATTCACACTATATGCTTCTCTAAAAACCTACGAAAATAGTGAACATGGGCGTTAATTTTGATTACAGCCAGAATTAAGCTTAATTCGGGCCGTAGCTCAAAATAACGTCCATGTTCACTATTTTGAGATTTTACGGATAACATAAAGATATGGTTTGTATGAACATATAATAAAATTTTATAACACCCCACCTTCGCAAAAGCACTTGCATTATCTGTTTCAACTGAACAGCTTAAATTATATTTAATATCAATAAGAAGAATATCAATAAGAATATCAATAAGAATATCACTAGTAAATTATATATTGATAACACTTAAATAACCATTTATGGTTGTTCACACCCTACTTAGTAAAAACTCTCGCACATCGACCATTAATAAATGTATATGCAATATGTATAGTACGTAGAAAGATAATGATTTTAAACAACATAGTCAATATTTAAAGCTCTTACGTAATTAAGGTAAACGATTTTGTTTGTTAACGTGTTGATTTATAATACATACCGTAAAAGATCCCCTATGAATTAGACCCGTGTACGAATCACAGGATTATTTTAAATAAATGCAGATGTTTTTAAAAACCTAGATTGCTTATTACTGTACTATAAATGCAAAGTACGTATGTACAGTACTTTAGAATTTACCTTGCTATGTACTAGACCCCGAGTCTACTATAGTAATAGGTTTTAAAGTCGGTGGGAATGTTTACAGACCCGGGTCTTGTATATGACCTTTTACAGTAAGTACAATGCATAATGTCTCCCTCAATGTGATTGGCTAGTTTGCTCTAATCGATAATGTGGTTGATCAGGATTTTAATTTCCGACTAATTAAAAATTTGCCTCCCAACTATTGAATAAGGTGCTTGAGGACACCCTTAATGTTCCCAAAATAAGCACTACACCCTCTACCCTGCTTTTTTCACGATGTATGAAAAAAAGGCATGTTCTGAGTTAGGGTGTTAAAATTGGATCCGGTTCTCAAACCTTATTTTAGTCAGGAACTGGACGAGACCTAGTCCATGGATAGTCAATTAAATTTAGAGTAATACAATTTATATTACCGTTCCAAGAATATGACTATTAATAGCAGATAGTGATAGATGAAAGAATTAATATCTTATCATGATTGTATCGTGTGGTTTAATTTTAATTTTCAATGACAGAAATATTGCTTGCATCATACTTAATTATATAAGATGAATACTTATGCATACCCTGGTATTTGTCTGTTAGAATTTTATTATTAAATCGGCCATTGATTTGTATCTGGTATCTTACAAAACACCACAACAAAAACCTTGAAACGTACAAATTTTAGAAGGGTGCAATAAATGATTGAAAAGGTACACAGATAGATTAAGAAGCACAATGAAGATTTGAGAAGGGACATTTTAAACAAAAAGGTAAAGTTAGTAAGCATATTGTGGTCAAATAGTATTATCAATACTTGATACTATATGAAGATAACGGTGATCTCAGAAGCATTAGATAAATTAGATAATATAAAGATAAGCCACAGCTTTATTCACTGCATAAATTATTAATGTTTCAAACTAGACGAATACAATACAATTTTGTGTAACTTCCGAATTTACAAAGTTTACTATAATTTCGAATGGTAAGTTAAGTAATTGACTGGTATGTACAAATTAATCAAAAATTATAATACGACAGGTTGAAACCTGCTATCATATAATCATCACATGAGGACTTCTGTATAATAACGCTTTAAATTTCAAAACACAAGGATCCTGGCCAAATTTTAGATCAATTCTGTAATTATCCGTGATAAATTCTAATTTCTGCAAAAAATTATCGTACCTGATCTTGATTAACCGATATGCTGGGGCGTCATCAATATCAACGTGCAACTGTTAGTTAGCCGCATACGTCATCAATACAGTAGTATAAATACAGAATAGACTAGAATCGGTTCTCTTTTGCACTCTCACCTATGCTGCTATTGAATAGTTACCCGGAGTAGTAATCGATCGAAAAAAGATCATGTGCAACCATGATGATATCACTGATTTGCATGATAATGAATTCCCGTGACCTGATCTTATGATTGATTGGTTTAAAACGCGTTTTTCTAATCAGTCTAATCCTGTAATCAGTTTGAACGTGTTTTGCAGATCTCAAAACAATTAAAAAATATATATATAAAGACTGCCTTTTTTCTTGTTTTTCTTTTTTTCGTTACACTTGTTATACTTTTATACTTTTTACCCTTTTTTATTTTCACCTATTATGCCCTTATGCTTATTGTTTAACACTCGTTAGAACGTTTTTATGATTTTATTTAGTTATAATCTTTTGTTTAGATAATACTTGTAAGTATTGATATTGATTTATTGAGCTTATTGGTTGATTAATTTGAAAGGTTTTTTAGAAGTCTTTTGGAGCTCCAGTCTTCTAAAAAACCGCCCAGTTTTTGAACAGATACTAGAGTAGTTCTGGGTTAAATTGGATTAATTTACTTACTTCGTTCTATTTTTATTTTTATTTTATTTTTTACTAGGTAGACGGTTTACTTCGGTTCGTCGATTAGTCGGTGTTAAAAAAATTCGATTAAAACAAGAATTATTAATTTTCCAAGTTATATTTTTATAAATAAAAGTATATCGTAAAGTATTATAATTTTTATTTGTATTATTATTTTATTGATATTTTCTAGAATGTTTGACTTGCTATTAAATGTAGCATTTATTTCGGACAATAACCAAATTATTTCAATAAAATTATTAACTAACCAAATCCGGTTAGCTTAGACCAATTGGAGATAAAAATCTGAGCCGTGGGTATAGTCTCGCCTATTAACTATATATAGGAAGATATTTCGAACAGAGCTAAGATTTATAGATCACTGATTTCGAAATAAATACGTCACTAATTTAATTCGAAATCAGAACCTTATTTATTTGTAAGCTTATTTATATAATAATGAATATACTTTTACGATCGTTTCTTTAAAAAAAGAAAATGCTTACTTATTTTATCTCCGGATAACCTATTTCATTTCATTTTCAGGTTTCGAAATTTCAAACAAGAATAGAATTTTTCAAGCTCTCGCTTATTTTTCAAAATAAGTTAACTCTGAAACCCTCTATTATTAGTTACAATGATAGATGATCTCATCATACTGGAATGGATATTGCATCTATGGTTTAGTGCATCAGAAACGACCGTTCAAATTGCTGATACTATTTTACTCAAAATTAATTATTAACATTATTATAAACTAAAGGGTTCTTTTGAAATTTAGTGCCAAAATTTTATTTTATTTTAAAATTAAAGTCTAAAAATTTTAAACTGCAAATAAAAAAAAGAAAAAAAAAAACTCAAAAATTCAAAAAAGACCCTATATAAATTGACTATTTCGAATTTTTTTAGATATACATTTTGTTTAAAATGAAAAAAAAAGAAAAAAAGTCTATACAATGCTTATTTACAATATTGATTACGTTCTTGTTTCGAACGCTTTACGCATCACTATGTCGTCTCAATATACATAGAATCCTTTTTTTTTTTTGCTAATACAATTTACATATAATATGTAATGTTTGAATTTTGAGCTACATGATGTTTAGTAGCAGGATTCCGAGAAGCCTTTTCATTGTCAACAACTTCATCAGCAAAATGAACATGAATCTTTTCATTTCGTCGAGTAATAAAGGATCTGTAAGTAGAAAGAATAGCGACTTAAAAAAAATAATCCTTTAATTATGTAAAAATAGAA